TCAGCTCCACGCGCTGCTCCTCGCTGACCAGACACGCCGTGTAATTCTCGAACACGGTGGGCACGTACGTCTGCAACGGCACCGACACGGTCAGCACCCGGTGCTCCCGGTACCCGCACCCGGTACCGGAGCCGGCTCACCTCAGGGTAGCAGTCCTTGGCCAGCACTTGCAGCATCGCCGTTTTCCCGCACTGAACGTCCCCCACCAGCACCAATTTGCACCGGGCCGGTGCAGCCGTCGGCGGCCTCCGCTCCCGCATCGCGGCGGAAGCGCACAGCGCAAACCCCCCACCACCACGCACCCACCCGCCAACCTCGCGCTTCGCCGCCGCAGCGCCCTTATGTACCCCCACCGCCGGCAGGGCCACGCCCACAGCGGAGCCTTTCCACCAATCACCTCGGGAGATCCCGGAATCCCGGCCAATAGCGAAGCAGCGTGGCCACGCCCACTCGCTCCTCCAAGCGCAGGGGGGCGCGCGTTTGCCAGCGGCTGCTCGGAGACCGGAAGTTGAGTCCCGGACCGGAAGTGGCGGTTGCTAAGAGACCGGTGGGACGCCGGCTGCGGGGAGAGCAGCGCCGGGTGGGGACGGGCGGCACCGGGACGCGGGGAGGGGGGACAAGAAAACGTGCGGGACCTCGGGGAGCGTGGTGAAAGCTGGGGGGATCCCGAAAGGAAGGGTGCGGGGGATCCCGGGATGAGGAGCTGTGGGTGGGCTGTGGGGACTGAGGCCTGGGGCGCCTTGCAGGCCTAACCAACCCCCCCCCACGCGGCCCCCCGTGCCCAGCCATGCCGGTGAAGCGGCAGCGGCGAGCTGCAGCCCCCGTGTCGGCAGAGGAGGAGCTGCTGCTGCTGCAGGGCCGCGCGTTGGCCGAGGAGGAGGCGGCCAAGAGGAAGGCGGAGCTGCTCAGACGCTTCCTGAAGGTGCGGAGTGGGGATGAGGGCGGTTGCGCTGCCCGCCTTCCCTCCCTACTCTCAGCTCGTTCCTCCCGCAGGACAAACTGGCCCAGGAGCAGCGCAGCACCGCCCTGAACCTCCATAAGCTCCACAGCCAGTGGCGCGCGGTGCTGCGCGAAGCCAAAGCCCAGGAGCTGCGGCGGGACGTGGCTGTGCTCAGCAGCACCTTCGCGCGGGTGATGGACAGCAAGGACGGCGTCATCGAGGCGAGTGGGGGGCCGCCCCTGGGGGGGGGGGGGGGTCGGGAGCCCCGTGCGACCCCCCGTCCCGTTTCAGTCCTTGGTGACGGACCTGGAGGAGGCGGAGGCTCAGCACAGCCGGGCGCTGAGCGGCCACCTGCGGAACCTGGATCGGCTGCTGCAGCTCCAGCGCTGCCGCCTGCGCTGCATGGAGGAGGGCTGCAGCGCGCAGCTGGAGGACCTGCAGGAGGAGTTTGAGGCTGAGAGGTACTGCGGAGCCGCGGTCCTTCAGCGCAGCGCGGATCAAAGAGGCGGAGGGGTTGGGGGGCGCTGCAGGACCCCCCGTCCAATATATGGAGGTTGTGTGAGCACTGCTGGATCACGGCCTGACCTCCGGTTGAGCACCGTGAGGCCCTGGGAGCCCCGGTGGAGGCGTGGGGTGGAGGCGCTGCAGCTCCCCGAGGGCTGGAAGGGATGGAGCCGGGCTGCGCCTCTCCCAGGTCCCGTTTAAGCGCTGAGCGCCGGGAGCGAGGATCTCAGCCCGGAGGTCCCCCTGGTGGAGGATCGGCCTGCAGCACCACGGAGCCTTTTCCACTTGTTTGCTTCCTGCTGCTGTCACTCAGCCTCGCTTTCCTGTGCGTTTCTCAGCTGTGCGTCCATTGATTACAGAGGGGTGCACAGGAAACACCCGCGGGTTGCACCCCTCCGCCGCCCCTCTGTTTTCCTACGTGTTTCTATGGAGATTTTCGGGTCCCAGCGCTGGCCCTGCACAGAACCCAGCTGCCTCCTGCTGTCCCCCTCCAGACACTGATCGGAACGGATCAGATCTTCTCTGCCCCCGGCGCCCCTCAGTTCCGCCCCCCCCTGCGGGTCTCCCCAGCGCTTCCAGCGCTCCGGGTGCGGCTTCCCCAGCGCGGAGCAGAGCGTGGAGCCCCGCTGCTGGCGCTCTGCGCGTCGCCCTCGGCAGCCGCCGGGCCTCGTGGCCACCAGGGCTCGCTGCACGCCGTCACCCCGCCGGCCGCGCTCGCTGTTTGACGCGCCTCCCCTCTGCCCCGCGCTTCCCAAGGAGGAGCATCCTGGAGCGGCACCAGCGAGAGCTGCGCTTCCTGCAGGCCGTGGCCGTGGCGGTGGAGCAAAACCACGCCAGGGAGGAGAGCGAAGCCGCGCTGAACTTCCAGAGCACGAGGGACGAGATCAAGAACAAGGTGCGAGGCCCGGCCGCGGCGGATCCCGGCTCTCGGGGCTGCGGAGCGGGGAGCGCGGCGGGGACGGGGCGGCGCGGAGGAAGCCGCGGCTGTTTGTGCCTCTCAGAGCCTGCAGGAGAAGCGCTACAGCCGGCTGCAGCTGAGCGGGAGGCTGCAGGGGCTGTGGGAGCAGTTCCGGAACGCCGCGCAGCGCTACGCCGAGGCCACCGAGCGGCGCCGGCTGGGCTTTGAGGCTCTGAAGGCGAAGGACGAGAAAAGCGCCCGGGAGATGGAGGTGCAGGAGAAGAGGCTGCAGAGGCTGCAGGTGGTGGCGCGGTGCTGCTTTGGCTGCTGTGGGTCTGGCTGTGGGTTTGGGGTCTGGCTGTGGGTTTGGGGTCTGGCTGTGGGTTTGGGGTCAGGCTGTGGGTTTGGGGTCAGGCTGTGGGTTTGGGGTCTGGC